GAGGTGTGGACCTCGGCACGTTGCCGAGGTGGTGCCATGGTTCACCTCGGCAACGAGCCGAGGTGCGACAGTGCTGCACCCCGGTGTTGTGCCGGGGTACGTTTGGCCTTAATTTTATTTTATCTTTTTTTTAGGCCATGTATTAGCCTCTTTAACGTTGTCCTATGAGACTATGACACCGGGCTCTCCCGTCTGGGTTGGTACGCGAGGTTAGACCTCGTGCCCCTTTAGGGTACGTCAGCTGCTCGAGCTAAGTCCTTCCGGACTACGCCGCCGGGATCTTCCGTCGGGGTTGGTACGCGAGGTCGGACCTCGTGCCCCCTTAGGGTGCGCTTAACCACTCGGGCCAGGTACTGTCGGACCAAGCCATTGGGCTCCTTCGTCGGGGTTGGTACGCGATGTTAGACCTCGTGCCCCTTTAGGGTGCGCGTTAGCCTCTCAGGCCGAGTCCTGTCTGACCAAGCCACCGGGCTCTTCCGTCGGGGTTGGTACGCGAGGTCGGACCTCGTGCCCCCATACGGTGCGCTCAACCGCTTGGGCCAGGTCCTGGTGGACCAAGCCACTGGGTTCCTCCGTCGGGGTTGGTACGCGAGGTTAGACCTCGTGCCCCCTTAGGGTGCGCGTTAGCCTCTCACGCCGAGTCCTGTCGGACCAAGCCACCAGGCTCTTCCGTCGGGGTTGGTACGCGAGGTCGGACCTCGTGCCCCCTTACGGTGCGCTCAACCGCTTGGGCCAGGTCCTGTTGGACCAAGCCACTGGGCTCCTCCGTCGGGGTTGGTACGCGAGGTTAGACCTCGTGCCCCCTTAGGGTGCGCGTTAGCCTCTCAGGCCGAGTCCTGTCGGACCAAGCCACCGGGCTCTTCCGTCGGGTTTGGTACACGAGGTCGGACCTCGTGCCCCTTTAGGGTGCGTCCTCCGTCGGGGTTGGTACGCGAGGTCGGACCTCGGGCCCCTTAGGGTCCGCGGGGAGAGAACGGGTGAGCACTCGTTCCCCTTCACTTGCCGTGGTTTTTTTTTTAAAAAAAAATTCCGAAGATAGATAAACGCAGACCCAATTTGCAAAAAGGGTCCTTCTCATAACATATTTCATAACCTTCAATTTTATTCCGCTTATTGCCGTCTACACAAACATTATTTGGGGGAGGGAAATGGTCAAGGTCCACCTTTCACGTGGCGACCTGCTTCCTCCCGAAATGCCTCTTCGGCGATGGTGTGGACCTGGAGGTCCTTCTAACCAATTTGGCTGCACGCCGTCAAGTAGCAGCTGCGGCTCATCTTTTGGTCCCCCCGGGTAACCCCGACTCCGGTCGGTGTTGAGAACTTGAGACATAGGTGCTCCATAGAAATTACGCACCTGAGGTCCTCTAGGACGGGTCGACCGAGTATTATATTGTGGGCGCAACTGATTTTGAAGACTACGAACTCGACCTCCCACCTCCTGGTGTGAGGTGGGGTGCCTATCTCCACCTCCAAATTGATCGACCCCTTCGTCTCAATTGAGTTCCCCGTGAACTCGGACAGGGGGGTCCGTACTTGCTCCAACTGCCCTCTTGAGAGTCCCAACTGGGTGAACGTGTCGTGGTACATGACGTTCACCGTGCTACCCGTGTCTACGAGCACCCGGTGCACCACCACGTTGTTGATGTCCAGCTTGACCACCAGGGCGTCTCGGTGGGAGAGGGGCCCATCTGGCAGGTCGGCGTAGGTGAACGTGATGGGTTCCCTCTTTGGTTTCTTCTCGTGGGGGGTACGTGTGACCTCCCCCACGTACAAGCTCCTCGCCCACTTCTTTCGCTCGCCTGGCGAGTCCCCTCCCTCGAGCCCCCCAAAGATGACATAGATGGCACGTTTCTTTGGGGGCTAGGAGTCCTCCATTGTTTTCTCCTCCTCCTCGGAGCTGTGGTCGAGGTGGTCCCTCTTACGGGGGGCCGAGGTGGATGGCGCCTGACCACCACCCTTTCTCCATACGTTGCCTTGCTTCTGGCCCTGCGCCTGGCCGTGCTTCTTAATGAATTAGCCGAGGTAACCCATTTGGGTGAGCTCCTCGATCTGTCTCTTTAGGAGGATGCATTCGTTTGTGTCGTGCCCCTTCTGCCGGTGGAACCTGCAATACTTGTTGGGGTCCCCCCCTCGCCGATATTTTCATGCACTCCTCCTTCGGGAATACCACGATTCCCTGGTCTTCCGCGTGTGCCAAGATGGTACCCACAGGTTGTGTCAGCGGGGTGAGATAGCGTGTGGGGTGCAACCTGGGCCCCTCAGCGTACTCACGTCGGTGTGGCCGCGGTGCCTTGCGCTCCTCCGGGGTGCCTTGTCTTTTCGGCCTCTTCCTTCCTCCTGCTCCTTCTTCCTCTTCTCGGCAGCCTCGGCGTCAGCGTACCTTGCTGTCTTGTCCATCAGGTCGGTATAGGACCCCGGGGGGGGGGGGGGGGTACCTGATGAGGTCCCGGTGGAATGCGCCCGACCTCAAGTTGTTTCGGAAAATCAGCATGGCCGACTTCGCATCAAAGTTGGCGACCCCCATGGCCTCTTTCTTCCACTTGCTGAGGTACTCGGCTAGCGATTCCGATCTCCCCTGCTTCAAATCACATAGGTCGGCAATTTGTTTCTTCCGCTGTATGCTGGTGGCGAAATGGGATAGGAACTGCCGGGTGAGGTCCGCAAAGGTGGAGATGGACCCCACCGGGAGGGATCCGAACCAGTCATGCGCCTGCCCATCCAGGGTGGCGAAGAACCCCCTGCATAGGATGACGTCCGTCGCCTCGGTGATCATCATGGCGGCCCTGTACCTGGTGAGGTGTACCCGCGGGTCCGTGGTCCTCGAGTACGCTTTAATGGTGGGAAAGCAAAAATCTCGAGGTAAGGGCTCCTCCATGATGGTGTTTGCGAACGGGGAGGACAGCACATCCTGGGGCTTTGGAGACCCGTCCCTCTCGTCGATCTTCTTCTGGAGCTCGTCCATCCTTCTCCTCAGCTGCTCGACCTCTTCTCGATGGGAGCTCGGAGCTCTACCATTCGTTTTACCTGATCGTTCGACCCGGGAGGCCTGTTCACGTCGAGGTGGGGCTTGGGTCCCCCGACCTGGTGACCCCGCGAGCCTGCCTCTCGTCGCGGCGTCGTGCCTGCCTGCGGGAGCAGGATTCTGCAGGTGGAGGCTCATCGGCGGCAGGCCTTAGGCCCAACCTCTCTTGGGCTGGCACCTGGCTGCCCAGCCTCTCCATGGCGGGTCTGGTTTGGTTTGACCTCTTTCCGTCGTCCTCCTGACGTCAGTCACGTCGTGAGTCCCCACCTCCCCGTGTGTCCGTCCGGCGGGGTGAATTGACCCCCCCCCCCTGGGTGACAGGTGCCTGGGGTGGTCGGGTGCTTGGACCGATGTGCCCCCGGGTGGGAGGAGGTGGAGGAGATGCCGACATCCCTTGGTTGACGCCCGGGCCGGCAGGCATACGCGCTCGGAGGTCCGCCACGACCCGGGCCAGCCCTGTGGAAGCTTGCTCGAAGGCCACCATCCCCTCCCGGATGAGGTCTAGGTCCTGAACAGGGAGGGCGGGCGGTAGAGCTCCACCACTGCGGGGGTTGGTGAGCTGGGCCCTCAGATCTCCCCCCCGACTCGGTGGTGGCGGCTGGTTGGATGCTGGGGGCGGGGGCCCCGTTGGGGCCATTCCCGTTCGCGACGAGCTGGGTGTCGCGGGAACCGTTGGTGTGACGAGAGTTGGATCTCGATCTCGTCATAGTAGCTGGTCGCGGTAGACCACTGGATATAGAACACACTTGAGCTGGTACAGCAGCTCTCAACAAGAGCACCAATGATGGATTTAATTAACCCGGGGTGGACCCGAATCAATAAATCCAGATAAGAACGTAATATAAATAATATAAATAAACGATACGAATAATATAGAACGATGTCGTAAAGGTCGCTAGGGACCGTATATTATATTAATTGCCGTATGATTTGGCTATTACAGAGATTTGGTAAGACAAAGTGTGTAATAATTGTATATCGTAGAATGAATGCCCTTTGTTAGGACAAGGAGGGAGGTTTTTATACAAGCTAAACCCCCCAACCGCCTCCCCCTAAATCGAGGGGTGGTTAGATCTCAACTTTCCCGAGCTCCACGTAGGTTGGCTCTGGTCGGGGCACCTCCGTAGTGCCCCGTGTCCGCGTTGCTCTCAGGCACCTCCATGGTGCCCCGGGTCCGTGTTGCTCTTGGGCACCTCCGTGGTGCCCCGGGTCCGCGTTGCTCTCGGGCACCTCCATGGTGCCCCGGGTCCGTGTTGCTCTTGGGCTCCACCAAGGTGCTCTGGGTCCGTGTTGCTACCGCGGGTCGGGTCATGGGTATAATATATCCATCAATTATTATTATTATTATTATTATTATTATTATTATTATTATTATTATTATTATTATTATAGGTCATTTTACATGTTAACCGCTAACCTAATCAATTGATTTTACCAAACATTTTTTACAAACTGCTAATACAATTCGCGGGTCAAATTGGCTAATCCGTTATTTATAACCCGCTATTTATAACCGCTAATAGAATTTGCTAGTCTTTGATTGCCAAACAAGCCTTTCTATATTAATAATGATATGTAATTAAGTTAAATGATTATTAATGATTTATGATTATATAATTATTCATTACTTAATCAATCATTAGTATCCAGTCATTACCTCCGAAGCCGGAAATGATAGGCACAGAGCCCATCTTGGCTATGCAATTGGCTCTTGTTATTGGGGCCAAGGGATTGTGACCATGGCACTTAGATGGCCATTCCTGTTGTGTTCAGAGATTTCCCCTTCCTGGTGAGGCTGGAGGCTTTAGTGGAGCCTGAGAATGTTGGGTCTCAAAGGTTCTTGAAAAAGTTGGGTTTGTAAAAGAAGGCATTTTGAGAAAGCTTGGGTTCAACAAGGGTGGGATTAGAGATATGTTCATCTATAGTTTCTTGTCCAGTGATAAGGTTCTCTGAAGATTGAGGTGAGGTTTCAAGGATGTAACAAACAATGATTCTTGACATTTTTAAATTCAAAGATCATCATTAACAAACATTGTGTATATGTCAAAAATATACAAACAATTTATACAATGGTAACTAAATGTACACTTTGATTTCATCAAGAACATTATCACATTGATGCCCTGTTTCTCAATTCTGCCTGCCATATCCATCAATCTCCATGGGCTCCAAAACTGTCCACACAAACAATAAAATAGATCAGACTATGGTGCACGTTTTCTCTGTAGGAACCACTTTGAAAAAGATAAACAGATAAGGTTGAAGTGACTAGCCTAGAGAAGGGGAATCTGAGGATGAGAGGAGGCTGTAAATCACAAAATCTCTAGATCTCCCTTTAATGATTTGGTACTTTCTCAAAACCCCTTCTCTCAAAAACCCAGATTTCTCCAATACCCTCTGGGAGCCTTTGTTATCCACATCTACCAAAGCCTCAAGCCTCTCCATGTGAGCCCACTCTGAGAAGATTGCAGAGCCCACCATCTTCACTGCCCTTGTTGCAATCCCTTTGCCCCAATACTTGTGACTCAACACATACCCAAGCTCACCTCTGCAACTGTCCATCCCAGAACTTGGGGTCACAGAGATTGCCCCAATTGCCTTGTTTTCAAGGCAAATCACTCTCAGCCATGGGTGTGGGATTGCAGTGTTCTTTATGAAGTCCACTGCTTGGTCTCTACAAGTGTAGGTGTCCCACGTACAGAAACGGCTCACCCTCTCATCTGTTGCCCACTCCATGAAATCGTCCAGGTCCGAGAGCTCCATTGGCCGAAGAGAGATTTCTGGGGATTCTGATTTGCAGGCTGCTGTTTCTTCCATTTTCTCCATGGCTTCTCTGCCGGATTCTCTTTTTAATTTATGGGTGGAGATTTTTTTTTTTTTTTTTTTTATTTCTTCCTCAGCACGAAAGAATGGATCAAGAGTCAATAATAGCTCGATTTCAAGAAGTGGGGATCAAGAATTTGAATAGATACATAGAATATATTGATTATTTTATTTTTTTCTTGGGATGTTCCTGGAAGGAGATTCAGTATGCCATCTCTGAAAGGAGATTCCATGAATTCCTGTTCTCTCGTTGACCTAAAATGATTGATTGGCTCGTAGGGGCTGCTGATTTGGTTCGATTGACGTCCATCTTAAAATCAGACTAATCAGGCCAGCCCGATCGTGCTGTCGTCTGTCGCAAATTATGCTGTGCAACCGAATGAAGGTGCATACGGTTGCAAAACAGCGCCGTTTTGGTTAAAAAAATGCGCGTCCCACTTAAAGAAGAAATCAGGTTCGATTCCCGGCAATATCATTTTTATATATCCAGAAATTCATAACTATATAACCACAATTTCATAACTATATATCCACAATTTTATAACTATATATCCACAGTGAATGAATGAATGAATGAAGTAAAAATTCACAATGAATGAACTAAATATCCACAATATATGATTGAACTAAATATCCACAATGAATGAACTAAATATCCACAATTTCATAACTATATATCCACAATTTCATAACTATATATCCACAGTGAATGAATGAAGTAAAAATCCACAATGAATGAATGAATGAAGTAAAAATCCACAATGAATGAACTAAATATCCACAATATATGATTGAACTAAATATCCACAATGAATGAACTAAATATCCATAAATTCATAACTATATAACCACAATTTCATTACTATATATCCACAATTTCATAACTATATATCCACAATAATGCTATTGCTGAGAGTCGAACCTGATTTTTTTTTTTTTTTAAAGTGGGACGCGCGTTTTTAATCAAAACGACGTCGTTTTGAACCGTATGCACCATGCGCATGGTACATTCGGTTGCACAGCATAACTATTGGTCATTTGTCGAGTTGGCCCGATGGGCCAAAAAAAAAAAACATTGACCACGGCAAATTATGCTGTGCATCCGTATGCTCCATGCATGGTGCATACGGATGCAAAAATGACGTCGTTTTATTAAAAAATGCGTGTCTTTTCTTAAAAAAAAAAAATTCAGATTCGATTCCCAGCAACAACATATGAACTAAAATTTCAGAATCGATGAACTATAATTCCAGAATCTAATCTATGAACTAAAAATTCCATAATGAATGAACTAAAATTCAAGAATCTATGAACTAAAATTTCAGAATCGATGAACTACAATTCCAGAATCGATGAACTATAATTCCAAAATCAATAAACTAAAATTCCATAATCTATGAACTAAAATTCCATAACGAATGAACAACATAATGTTGTTGCTGTGAATCGAACCTGAATTTTTTTTTTTAAGGGGAGACGCGCGTTTTTAATAAAACGACGTCGTTTTTGCATCCGTATGCACCATGCATGGTGCATACGGATGCACAACATAACTACTCATTCGCCACTACTCAAATCAGGCAATTTATATCCTGCACCACGGCGCGCGTTGCACTATGCGCCCAGATGCAAAACGACGTCGTTTTAATTGTTTGTTTGTTTGTTTTTTTTTTTTTGAAATTTCCCGCCCCAGTGTATGGCAGTTAATTTTTCTTTAAAAAAAAAAATCCCTGCTCAAAAATGTACATAATGTTATACTAGAATACACATAATTGTATACATGAATGTACATAATTATATAACAAAATATACATACTCTTTTTAAAAGATAATACACATAATCCATAATAAACATAAACTTTTAACATAATACACATCAACTCTTAACATAATACACACAAATTTTCTGATTCGGATGTACATAATTGTATAAAAAGAATGTACATAATTGTATAAAAAATGTACATAACTGTATGAACAAATATACATAATTGTATGAACAAATATACATAATTGTGTGAACAAATATACATAATCACAGCAACTTCCTACCACGCCTCCCAAAATGACGTCGTTTTGGGAGGCGCGCGGCGCACAGTGCTACGTGCGCCGTGGTGTAGGGTATAACGATTGCTCAAATCAGGCAATTTATATCGTGCACCACGGCGCACATAGCAATGTGCGCCCAGGTACAAAACGTGCGCATTTCTTGCTGATGTCACTTCGTTTGTCCGAAGAGACCAAACTTCATTATGTGTATTCAGTTAAAAGTTTATGTGTATTGTGTTATGAGTTTATGTGTATTCAGTTAAGAGTTTATGTGTATTATGTTAACCAAATCCCATTATGTGTATTCAGTTAAAAGTTTATGTGTATTGTGTTATGAGTTTATGTGTATTGTGTTATGAGTTTATGTGTATTCCGTTAAGAGTTTATGTGTATTCTGTTATGAGTTTATGTGTATTCAGTTAAGAGTTTATGTGTATTATGTTAACCAAATCCCATTATGTGTATTAAGTTAAAAGTTTATGTGTATTGTGTTATGAGTTTATGTGTATTCCGTTAAGAGTTTATGTGTATTTTGTTAAGAGTTTATGTGTATTACGTATTATGTTAGATTATGTGTATTCTGTTATGAATTTATGTATATTCTTTTATGAGTTTATGTGCATTCGAAACAGAAAATTTTTTAACAACTTAACAAAATGACGTCGTTTTAGGAACCGCGGGGCACACAGTGCTATGTGCGCCGTGTTGCAGATATAACAATTGCTCAAATCTTCATTCAATCATTCTCCAATTTAACAATTTAGCACTCCAACAATTAATTAGAATAAGCATCCATTAAATGTTTAATTACTTAATTAGATTTATTTGTATCAGTTTAAATATTTAATTACTTAAATGTTTAGTCTTTAAGTATTTAATTAATTATATTTATTTGTTTTATAAACTAATAATTCATTTTTATATACTTAATTTCTATGCTTGATCATTGAATTGCTACAAATGGCCGGGTATGTAATTCTTTTATTTGACAACTACATATTTTTATACTCTTATTTTATTTTGAACAAATATAGGAATATTGTTGTTTTACGCTTGATTGTTTGTCTGGTCTTATGGTCTTTGTATTTGTAGTTTATGGAGATTTGGATGTTAGAGACATGAAACTGAATTAATTGTTCATCCTTGCATTATGATTTTTGAATTGAACTTTGGAAATGAAGATTTAAATTTAGTAAATGACATTGAAGTTTATATTTATTTACATAAATGTGCCAGTTTAATAAAATGAAATCTTTAGAATATAATGTTAATTTAAAATTTTTAAAAAACATTAGTTGAGTTAACCATATATAAACCCGACAGACCGAGGTTTGGGATTATGGTCAAGGATTTGAAATCTAACCAAAAAAATTCTGATAAACCCAATAGTTCGATAAGACTAACTCAAAACTGAACAGATTGGTCCAATTAATATCGCCTTACATAAAATTAGTTTAGCACAATTGAGTGTAAATTATGTCGTGCAACCGTGTGCATCATGTATGGTGCACACGGTTGCAAAACACAGCGTCGTTTTGATTAAAAACGATGCATTCGACTTAAAAAAATCATTTTTGATTGCCGTTAACAGTGTTATGCTGTGCTATATATCCAGAATTCACTACTGGAAATTCTGAAATTTCCGACCACCTGAAAATGATATTAAATTAAGTTGATACCAAAAAGTCCAAAAAGTGGTCGGAAATAGCAACAAAGGTTTTTCCGAATACGAAAAGTGGTCGGAACAAGACTTTCAACTTGATTTAAGATCACTTTCAGGTGGTCGGAAATTTCAGAATTTCCAGTAGTGATTAATGAACTATATATCCAGAATTAGTGAACTATATATCAACACAAGTTACTGGTACTCTGTTTTGGCTTATGGCAGTTCGCTGCATCTGTTTATTCAGAATGAATGAACTATATATTCAAAATTAATGAACTATATATCCAGAATTAATGAATTATATATTTAGAATTAGTTAACTATGTATCCAGAATTAATGAATTATATATCCAGAATTAGTGAACTATATATCCAGAATTAGTGAACTATATATCCAAAATTAGTGAACTATATATCCATGCTGAAAATGGTGGAAATCCCGTCGATTGGAGTTTAAAAAAATTGATTGGTGGAGTTAAATGGTGCCACTAACGGTACCGTTACTCCACTATAGTGAAACGACGTCGTTCGCAACCGATGGTGTACACGGTTGCACAGCATAACGATTGTTGATCGCAAATTATTCTGTGGACCTGGATTCACCTTGCAAGGTGGACCTGGGTGGACATGACTCTATTTTTTGTTGTAATAATTTTTATGTTTAAATATATTTTTCATTTTTAACTTTAGTGTGTACATTACTTTGTTGATGGCATAGAATTTATTAACAACAGGTAAAAATAAAATTATGGTAATATCAAAATAATAAAAACAATTTATATAATTTTAGATTTTTCTACCTGTTAGTTTTTGGGTTTTCGGGCCCAAGGAGGTCCAACACAACCTTTGGTTGGTGGATTCACCTTTCACAAAGTGACAGCAAAAGGAAGAGTAGTCGAATAGTAGCTAAAAGGTGTGTCTCTTATTCACTGGGCATGGATTCGCCTCCTCATTACAAGGGTGGAGAGGGCCTTATATAGTAGGCTCCCCCCCGTCCGACTTGAAGGACATTAATCATTGTTTTTAAGGCTAATTACAATTACTAAGCCGTTTGGCGTCGTTACCGGACCGGCCAACGGCTCTATGGACTCATAACTGCCTGCATGACCGAGTCCTGCTTTGAATGCCTCCAACGGCTCCCAGACCGTCTTAAAAGCTACGCTGGAACGCCTTTCAACGGCTCTCTGGGCCGAGTCCTCTTAAATGAGGCTCTTCAATGTTCCTTAACGGCTCAGGGTCGAGTCTCTATCCGTGCTAGGGCCTGGGCCGACTCCTGGACTCGGCCCAAGCTTTCCACTAGCCTTCTTTCGCTGCTGGCCCACATCTTCTTTCTTGGACTCCTCTTTTGAGCCCATCTTCTTGGGTCGGGGTTCTCCCCCATCAACTAGTCCCTCACTTTCTCATACCCGGTCCACTAATCCGGGTTTGGGAAAGTAGTAACTGACGGTTCTCTCCATCACCGGATCTCCGTCTTTAAAGAGACCTCGTAACGTCCGGATCCTCTGCTATCTTCCCGGATTCAACGGAGCCGTTTGGATTCTCCTAGCTCCGCAGGG